AGCTCTGCTCTTTTAAACACTGATGTTTAATTAATGATAATTTCAAAATGAAAATGTTTGTTTTTTCCAGTTTATTTGACCAAAGGAAGAAATAAGTAAACTGGAAAAAAATAAACATCATCATTCTCAGTTGTAGCGTCCCAAAAATGTCCGCTGATAGTTTTTGAATTTTTGGGTTCAGAATCACTCAGTGGTTTTTAGTTTGGCCGATCCTGCAACGCCTTGTCGAGAAATGGAGCAGATGATGCTTTCGATGCTCAACCTCCACGAATTTGTCGTTTATTTTAGCTAGAAGAACGCTGTTTACGAATTGCAGTTCCCAGAATGTGAAATAATTGTAAAATGCAAATCCATGCAAAATTCCTCTTGTCAGTGTGTAACAAAGAAACAGTCATCACTCTCTCATCAAATACATCTTCTATCCTTTAGTCGCCGCTGCTTTGCAAATCCTCTGCGGACTGATGTGACCAAAAATCTTCCAGTTTCTCGTAATGCTCACAGATGACTCAGTTGTACTCGCACCTTCATATCACCAAAAGCCAAAACGTGAAGATGGGAATGATCGATTAGTAATTATTCTGAGCAAACCTGGTGCAACAAAAAATCAGCAGGCTTAAGTGCAGATTTTTTCATCCAGCGATTTTTTTTTTTTTAGTCAAGATGTATATCTAATATCTTCGTCTTCTTTCAAAAGTATTTCAAAAACCTGGATGTCTGTCTGCTCTCCTGAACTACTAGTAAAAATCTGGACTTCCGAAATTTTTGGACTACGATGAAAACACGGAAGTAGCGGACGGCGGACGATAGAGACTGTTTTCCAATTAGTATTAGCTAAAACGACGGTCTGAAGTGCGCATTTGAAGGATATTGTCGAAAAAAAAACTGTTTCCGTTCTAGAAAGATTTCCTTTGCTGCTTGTCTTGTTGTTCGGTTTTACCATGCCAGTACGGTAACCGCCGAATATCCCAAATCCTTTTCCTCTCATCCATCACCCTGGCTTTTTTTTTTGCCATATCTCCTTCCATCGCATGTTAAATAAATTTCGCGTCCCACCCTATTTGTTTCTTTTACATTTTAGATTTTTCCATAGTCCTCGATGTTGTAGCCA